TGTTTTTAATGAGTTTAACTAATTGTATGTTTTTAATGAGTTTAACTAGCTGTATGTTTTAATGAGTTTAACTAATTGTATGTTTTTAATGAGTTTAACTAATTGTATGTTTTAATGAGTTTAACTAGTTGTATGTTTTTAATGAGTTTAACTAGTTGTATGTTTTTAATGAGTTTAACTAGCTGTATGTTTTTAATGAGTTTAACTAGTTGTATGTTTTTAATGAGTTTAACTAGTTGTATGTTTTTAATGAGTTTAACTAATTGTATGTTTTTAATGAGTTTAACTAGCTGTATGTTTTAATGAGTTTAACTAATTGTATGTTTTTAATGAGTTTAACTAATTGTATGTTTTAATGAGTTTAACTAGTTGTATGTTTTTAATGAGTTTAACTAGTTGTATGTTTTTAATGAGTTTAACTAGTTGTATGTTTTTAATGAGTTTAACTAGTTGTATGTTTTTAATGAGTTTAACTAGTTGTATATTTTTAATGAGTTTAACTAATTGTATGCTTTTAATGATTTTAACTAGTTGTATGTTTTTAATGAGTTTAACTAGTTGTATGTTTTTAATGATTTTAACTAGTTGTATGTTTTTAATGAGTTTAACTAGTTGTATGTTTTTAATGAGTTTAACTAGTTGTATATTTTTAATGAGTTTAACTAATTGTATGCTTTTAATGATTTTAACTAGTTGTATGTTTTTAATGAGTTTAACTAGTTGTATGTTTTTAATGAGTTTAACTAGTTGTATGTTTTTAATGAGTTTAACTAGTTGTATGTTTTTAATGAGTTTAACTAGTTGTATGTTTTTAATGAGTTTAACTTGTTGTATGTTTTTAATGAGTTTAACTAGTTGTATGTTTTTAATGATTTTAACTAGATGTATGTTTTTAATGATTTTAACTAGTTGTATGTTTTTAATGATTTTAACTAGTTGTATGTTTTTAATGATTTTAACTAGTTGTATGTTTTTAATGAGTTTAACTAATTGTATGTTTTTAATGAGTTTTAACTAGTTGTATGTTTTTAATGATTTTAACTAGTTGTATGTTTTTAATGAGTTTAACTAGTTGTATGTTTTTAATGAGTTTAACTAGTTGTATGTTTTTAATGAGTTTAACTAATTGTATGTTTTTAATGAGTTTAACTAGTTGTATATTTTTAATGAGTTTAACTAATTGTATGCTTTTAATGATTTTAACTAGTTGTATGTTTTTAATGAGTTTTAACTAGTTGTATGTTTTTAATGAGTTTTAACTAGTTGTATGTTTTTAATGAGTTTAACTAGTTGTATGTTTTTAATGAGTTTAACTAGTTGTATGTTTTTAATGAGTTTAACTTGTTGTATGTTTTTAATGAGTTTTAACTAGTTGTATGTTTTTAATGAGTTTAACTAGTTGTATGTTTTTAATGAGTTTAACTAGTTGTATGTTTTTAATGAGTTTAACTAGTTGTATATTTTTAATGAGTTTAACTAATTGTATGCTTTTAATGATTTTAACTAGTTGTATGTTTTTAATGAGTTTTAACTAGTTGTATGTTTTTAATGAGTTTTAACTAGTTGTATGTTTTTAATGAGTTTAACTAGTTGTATGTTTTTAATGAGTTTAACTAGTTGTATGTTTTTAATGAGTTTAACTTGTTGTATGTTTTTAATGAGTTTTAACTAGTTGTATGTTTTTAATGAGTTTAACTAGTTGTATGTTTTTAATGAGTTTAACTAGTTGTATGTTTTTAATGAGTTTAACTAGTTGTATGTTTTTAATGAGTTTAACTAGTTGTATGTTTTTAATGAGTTTAACTAGTTGTATGTTTTTAATGAGTTTAACTAGTTGTATGTTTTTAATGAGTTTAACTAATTGTATGTTTTTAATGAGTTTAACTAGTTGTATATTTTTAATGAGTTTAACTAATTGTATGCTTTTAATGATTTTAACTAGTTGTATGTTTTTAATGAGTTTTAACTAGTTGTATGTTTTTAATGAGTTTTAACTAGTTGTATGTTTTTAATGAGTTTAACTAGTTGTATGTTTTTAATGAGTTTAACTAATTGTATGTTTTTAATGAGTTTAACTAGTTGTATGTTTTTAATGAGTTTAACTAGTTGTATGTTTAATTAGTAAATAAATTAAAGAGTAAAAACTATTAAATACTTTAAATTATTAAAAACTCAATAAAAATTAATTCCTATATAAAAATTATTTGAGTTAAATTACAAACATATTTGAATTTTTTAACTTTAAATTAAATTACAAATTAAAAAACAAAATTAAATTGTCATTTAACATCTATATATTTAAATATTTTAAATACTTTTAAATTTTTAATTGTATTATACTAATAATAGGACAGCAGTTTAAAAAACAACAAAAATACTTAAATTTGAATTATTTTACAAAATAATTATAACTAATGGAAATTCAATTACATTGCCTGTAGTCAAAAAAATTTAAGAATTAGTTGATTAAAGTTGACTCAATGACCTTACCAAAGACCAGCAAAGTGATGATAATGTGAGAACGTTTCTTATGATTGATGATAGTTAGAGAGTGTTTTTGATAGTTTTTTAAAAATTGAATCACAGATGGTATTTTCCAGCAGGCAGGAAAACAATATTCAGTCAAGCAATTATTAAATAGTTTTGAGAGAATTAAAGAGAAAGTTCTGGAGAACACTTTTGCAAGACTATGACAGGAATATTATCTAGATAGCAAGCTAAAGAAAAGTTGAATTAAAAAATGACTTTAGCAACGGAGCATGCTTAGCTGGCAGGAAGAGTATAGTTGTTAGAATATGCAACTTATGAAATTTTAAAATTATGTAAATTTAAAAAATCATTTATATATGTTAAATACAAATTTCTGAACTTCAGTTTGCAAAGTTCAGTTAGCAAAGTTTTTATGTTAGGATTGTGTATGTAATATATATCAGTATGTATATTTTAATATGGATAATTATAACTTTTGTAACAATTACAAACTTTTTATTTATATTATAATAACATGACTGAGAATTTAAACCTTTTAAAATTTTAAATTTTTTGCACAGAAAACTGGGCATTAAACCAGTAAGCTACTGAAAAATACATATATATGCATACAACATATGTATGCCCAAAAACAATACTTTTTATGTCAATATTTTTTATTTAATTAAAGTTAATTTTTATATAGAAATATTTTATTTTCATAATTTTATAGTGTAGACAAACAAATGGTATGATTTAATTATATTGTTTAATTTAAATATACTAGCTATATTATATGATTTAAGTAGACAAATAAATGGTATGATTTAATTGTAGTATTTTGTGATGAATTCCATTGAAAATCCATTTTTTATGAAAAGGTGAATGGAAATTACTTAAGCTATAATGACCTTAGTGATTAAGGTCTATTAGGTTTCCATGATACCCAAACATGATAACAATTGATAGGTTATTACATGATATTTGTGGATATATTATGGGTGGAGACTTATACTTTGACACTTTGAGACTTCAACAGTTGTGAGGAGCTCAAGTAGTAGAGCTCATGTATAAAATGTTTTTATCATTAGGAATTTGTAAATGATATTTATTAACAGAAAATAGGCGAGTTAAGATTAAAAAAGAGGAATTTTCCTAATGGCTTTTTAAATCATGGGAGTGGAATACTACCTGTAAAACTAGAATACTACCTGAAACACTTTAGCAGTGCTTTCTTAAAAAAAAATTATTCTTATTTATACTTCAATATAATTATTAATACTGAAACTCATTACTTCTAAAAATCCACTGAGAATAAATGCATAATTTTTTATCTCATTGGAATTTTTTATATTCAACATTTTTAATAATAATGCTTTTTTAAAAAAAAAGTTTGTTTCCAGCCTTCCAACTAAGTAATAAGTCTACTTTGAATTATTTGAAATATAAGAAAGAGAGATCTATCTAAACTCATTATTGAGTTATCACCTAGAGATTTTTTTTGTTGATTATTAACTTTGTACTTAATTAATATTACTATTATAGATTTTTATGGATATGTTGCTTATTTTCTTTGTTAAAAAATTGTTAAAAAAAAAAGTTTAACAGCTCGTTAGACTTTTCTTGTCTATTAAAGTAAACATACTTAACACACTTAGCTACCATGGCCCATTTTAAAGGTCATTTGGTTCTAGTGTTTATAAATACTAAAAAAAAGGTATTTTAGGTAGATAATAGCTTAAAAGCAATAGGTAGTAATTCAACTAATTTTAACACAGGATGATCAGTGGATTTTGAATTGGATTTGATGTTCTACTGCAACAACTGACTAAAACACTGACTGAGCAGCAACAAATAAAGTGAAAGTAATGAAAAACTATTAATAATTTAATTGTAAAACTATTAATAATAACTTAGTTAATTGTTGGAGATTTAGAATCAAAGTCAAACACAGGTTTACTGATCAGAATACATGCTTTACCAGTTTAAAAACATCAGCTTATTGAAACATCAATCAAGTAAAGTAGTATAAATTTTTTTTAAAATTCACATTTCAACAAGATATGGTTTTTTTTGGTTCATTATTCTAACTACACTCTGCTTGATAAAGGGATAGTATAAAGTTCATCATATAAACTATGCTCAGCTTAATAAAGGGAAAGTATAGTTCATCATGCAAACTATGCTCTGTTTAATAAAGCGATAGTATAGAGTTCAAAACTCTAAACTGGTAATAAAAATGTGAGAGAATAACACAAGATTCTTCTGTAATTAAAAAAAATAATAATAAAAGATTTTTACTTTTTCCCTGAGTTCAGCTGGTGAAAAAAATGTAATATTCCCTGTTAATGTTGAAGAATATAACACTTTCGTAACTGAATTCATATTCTCATTACATTTTTTTTTTAAGAAATTAGATTTTCTCTTACCTTTAATTAATTGATAGTAATCCATTATAGCAAAAATTTTTTCTAATAAAAAGTAGTTTAAACAAGAAAACCATAAAAACTCAATAAATATATGAAATATAATAAAAAAGTAACAGTTTGTATCTATTTTAAACAAAGTAAAGTGTTTTATTTACAAAATATAAACTTTATTATAAACTATAATGAATAAAGTTTTAGTAACTTTCTCATTTGCTTCAAGAAGTGCAGCTTTAATTTCTTAATTTCATTACTTTTTTCATTTTCACTTGCTTCTCCTCAGCAAGTTTAATAAAATCAAACTGCAATACTTCACTAATTTTCTTCAGTTAATCTCATCTTTAATCAATGTTTATTTCATCGCTAACTACTTTATTTGTCAATTGACTTGCATCTTTTTTATTATTGTCTGTGATTGAACTTAGGTAGCTTTTATATCTTTTATGGACTGATTTTACATTGATGATCATTTTGTTTGCAATTTTGTGTCTAAAAATTGTTTGATAACATATAATCTTTGACAAAACATCTTGCACTAATAAATTTTTTACTTAAATAGTGTTCCAGTACTTGCTAACCAATCTTTGTAAATAAAGTAAATATAGTCTTGTAACTAACCTTCTTGAAAACAAATCTTTTCTAAAATCTTGTCTTGAATTATTATATTTAATTAAACATTTATCTAAACATATTATTATTTTTTATTCTGATTCACTCCCAACAAGGCTGCAAGCAACCACTATTAAGTTGGGAGTCAGTAGAAAAAAAGAATAGAATTATAAAGCAAGGAAGCGGTTGACAGAAGACTTAAAAAGTTGAAGGTTAACAGGAAAACATAAAGATGGGAGTAAGCTCAGAAGGGATAAAGTGTGAAGGGGGGGGGGGGAGGAATAAACAAGTTAAAGATTTTAGAGCATGTAGGGACAGATACAGTAAAATAATGAGACTTTGCTAAATTTTGATGACTTTGACAAGCTAAAATATGAAAAAAGTATTACAGGGGCAAATAAGAAATTTGTAGAGGTAAAAAATGGAATTAGGAGTAAGAAAATTAAAAACACAATAAAAAGAAGCAACCTTAGCAGATGTTAACTTAGCAATCAAATGTATATATGGTTTCCATGAGAGGTCAGTAGTGAATGACAATCCAAGAAGAGGCAAAAAAGGTGAATCAGTGAATATAAGAATGTCAACAGTATTGTGAAAATTGTGAAAATTTTATTGGAGTTAAAAATCACAAGCCACTCAAGCCCTAATCTGTTTCAGAAATAAGATCAAGTTCAGGATTGGCTGCTAGTTCTAAGCAATTGAAAAGAGAAGACTTTTTGCCTAAACAGAAGTACTAAGTTCAGTCTTTAGCAAATTTATTACTTTAGATGTAAGGTTGTTAGAATGATCATTAATGTAGATAAGAAACAAAACAGGACCAAGGATAGAACCTTAAGGTACCCCAGAAACTACTGGAAATAAAGAAGATTGTTGGCCTTTGAGGATGAAATAAAGCGATTAGAAAGAAATCATTTAATAATCTCAAAAACTCCCAGATACACCATATGAATTAAGTTTATGGAAAAGACCACCATGCCAAACTTTATTAAAAACTTTAGATCAAGAGCAATAACCTTAGCCTTGCCACCTCCAGTTGCAAGTTGCCATAGAGCATGAAGATCAAAAACCATATTAATTATCTGGTAGCTAGTTATTTGACTCAAGATGGGATGTTAGAAATTTGTTGATCGAAGACTCAAATTTCTTTCTAATAACAGATACTATAAGATTTATAATATATAGTTTTATATTATAAAACGACTCTAGTGAGAAACTTTCAATAATAATAAAAACTTAAAATTTGTATATTACAAAATAACTTTAAGCTAAATAAAAAGCTAAAAAATAATCCCTGAACTTTTAATTTTTTTTTTTGAATTTTCCCTGATTTTAAAGATTATTTAGAATTATTAAAAGCAATTCCCTGATTTTTCCAAGTATTCCCTGATTTACTAAATTTTTAAAACTTTTCCATAATTTTCAGGTTTTTATTGAGTACCCTGTACTAAGAAACATTTTGGTCAATCTCACTAAGAAACATTTTCAACAATTTATAACTTTATAAATATCTTTGTACAAGATTTTATGTGAAAACACTAAAAATAGAAAAATGAAAGAAAACCAAAATTTTTTTGAAATTTTTCTTTGACCTTATTCTGATAAAATTAAACTTTTGTCCAAAAATACTTTTATTATGTTTTTTTTAAATAATTTTATTATGTTTTTGTCTAGAAATACTTTAAAAAATTTAAAATATTTAAAACTTACTATATTTTTTAATTAAAATACAACAACAAGCAAAAATTTCTTTTCTTATCAGTAATAATATGTCAAATAAAAAATAATGTTATTAAATATAAAGAAAAAGTTAAACATTAACAAGGTTTCAAACCATTAAAGTCCCTGTGACCTGCTAGATGGGTTTTGACATTTTTTAGTTAATGTGACCATGCCAAAAACAGCATTTGACCACCTTTAAACCATTAAAGTCCCTGTGACTTGCTAGATGGGTCTTGAGATTTTTTAGTTAATGTGACCATGCCAAAAACAGCATTTGACCAAGGTTGAAAAAAACTAGACTTAATGTTTTGTTTATCAGAAAAATGGCAGCTTAACTAAAAATAGTTTAGCGGCCATTTTTCTGATAAACAAAACAAGGATCTGGATTATTGGCAGGCCAAGATATGATTTAAATATTGCTTTCTTCAAACAATTGAATTGATCACCTGACTGAGGCTGAGCAAAATAAGACTCGTTTTTCTGATAAACATTTATGAAGTTCCGACAATTAGTTATTATTTTATATAAAATCGATTATGACATTTCACTAACAATCATTTTATTGATTTTGTCTGGAACTGAAATGGTTAATCCAAGAGAAATGAATTAATTTATATAAAAGCAATTTGCAAATAAAAAGCAACAAAAACAATACATTAAAAGAGCTGTTTAAAATTCAACACCAAATTATTATTTAACATAAGCCTTAAACTCAGAATTAGATTCTAATAAAATTTTGACACATGGATTTTGAAATTTGCTTTTTATATATATATAAAAACTATTGATTTTTCACGACTTAAATATATATATATATATATATATATATATATATATATATATATACATATATATATATATATATATATATATATATATATATATATATATATATATATATATATATATATATATATATATATATATATATATATATATATATATATATATATATATATATATATATATATATATATATATAAGAAAATAAGGTTGCTTAAAATGTTGGTAGTTTTTAAGCAACCTTAAACCAATCAAAATAAAATAACAAAAATAATAATCATCACATAAATTTTTTTAAAGTTATTTTTAGCTTTTTAATTATAATATTTAAATTACTTCTTTGAAGATTTTTTATGTTTTTTCTTCAAAAGTGATAAGGCTTTTTTTTTTGCAGAAAAGAATTTTTTGCTTTGGTTTTCAGCTAACAAAATATTATCGATAGCAATAGCCAAAAATATGTTTATCAAAACATCTTAAGTCTAAGTTATGAAAAATAAAATTTAATTATATTTTTATAAAATTAATTTAATAATGTAATTAACTATTATATAATTTCTATTTTAAATTTATTAACATCTGTGCATTATTTTAAATTCATTAACATCTATTTATTTTATTAGAGAACTATTAACTAAAGTAACTATTTAAATTAAAAAAATAAAAAATTTTTCAAAGGATACATTTTCCAATAATATTAAGTATAATAAAATATAAGGATGATAGAAGAGCCAAAGGTTTATTAGCTCCACCATTTGACTTGATTGCATCATACATAACATAATTCCAACCTTCTCCCATCATTATCTAAACACAATTAATGTTATTATTATTGATTGCTCTTATTAGCCTCCTCGTCTGTTGTGGCCTTCTCGGCCTTGAGGAGGTGAATAACAAAAAACAACAACAAAAAAAAAGACTTGAATTTTTAAATCTTAAACATATATACAAAAATGTGAAATAAAAAAGTTATTTATCCAGTGGTTGTATTCATCAATTTATTTTAAAAAAATATTTTTTGTCTCCCCATTTAAATTAAGACTAGCTGTAAACATGAATAGAGAAAAAGAATTTAGAAAACCCTAAAAAAACTACAACTCAATAGGAAAAATACATTACTGTTATTCATGTTATTTAACATTACTCATATTATTCAACAATAGCTATGTTTCTCACACATTGCTTTGTTACCAAACGTTAGCTATGTTACTCACACATTAGCTTTGTTACCGAACGTTAGCTATGTTACTCACACATTAGCTTTGTTACCGAACGTTAGCTATGTTACTCACACATTAGCTTTGTCACCGAATGTTAGTTATGTCACTCAATATTAGTCATATTATTCAATGTTAGTCACATAATGCCCACAAAAAGATATCAACTTGGCTTTTGCAGTTGAGGCAAAAAAAAATCAGCATCTTATATTTGATAATTAAGCCCACAATTAATAGTGGAGACTTTTTTATTAATAAACTCATCTTATTAAGGCTCCAGAGTGCCACTGGAGCAAAGGAAGATACTTGGTTCCAACTCTAAACTTGGAAAAAGGAATTGTTAAATGAAGCCGCTGCGTGATTGAGCACAGTCCTTTCAGACCCCTATTATAAGTTTGAATTTCAAACCTCTTGATTGTGAGTAGAGTACCGCAAGTAGTCTAGACACTAGTCTATTACTACATATGACTAGTGGAGTCTAATACTCTACTACTCCATTAGTCTACTACTGCATATTTAATAGCCAAATAAAAAAAGCTGATTTTTTTTTTTACAAAAACCTCTTTAATTTCAAATTTATAAAAACAAACACAAGTTATTTATACCTGAAAAACCACCATTAAAGAGTTGAAAAAATCATCAAAATTTGCTCTTGGCTTAGGAACTATATTGTAGAATCTGTAAAAAAAAATTGTTTGAGTTTGTTATAAATACAATTAATAGGTTATTGTTTTAAAGTTGATTACCATTGCTCATAATATTTTAAAGTTGAAAATCATTGGTTGTACCATTTAAAAGTTGAGAATAATTCCTTATCCCAGTGAAAAGTTGCTCATTATTTTTGTATTAACTTAAATTATGAAATAGAATCATTACAAATATGTATTTAATTAGCAATAGCAAATGACAAAATAAAAAACAAAATGAACCTTGATTCCTTTATTTTTAGATGAGAGACAGAAAAAAAAACTTTTTTCTTTGCTTGCCAGTATTACGATTTTTTTCAAATTAAGATTTATTTCAGTAATGAAACAAATATTTATTTCATACTACACATACTACAGAAACTGTCACATCTAATACCAATATATAAAACATTTTAGGATTTTCTTTTTTTTTTGTCTAATTTAGTTACTGTTAATCAATTTCAATAGTTCTAAGAGGTGAATAACAAAAAAAAAAAAAAAAAAAAAAAAAAAAAAAAATTCTATAGTTCTTTGAAGTTAATTTGATTTTTATATTTTCTCAAGATATTAACAAAAAAAAATATTGTTTATTTGACAATATCATTATCTAAATGTTTTGTTAATAATATCTATTTTAAATTATCTAGAGTAAACATTAAAGTTAACAACTACTTTTAATTTTTAGTATTTATTTGTATTGTTTGTTTTTCACAGTATGTTTGTAGAAAATTGTTAGTGGTTCAATTAAATTTCTAAGTGTTCCAAGTTAATTTTTATTTTTTAAATCTCTATATTGCCGAACTTAATCCTTTAAGCAATGTTAGTGCCCCTTTGAGTGTGTTTGACACAGAACCCTTGGCAACCATTGCAACTGAGGTAGTGGTGAGAAAGCATTGTAGTACATTTTATTGTAAGCAAGCGTGTATAAAAAAATTTAATGTACGTAAACTTCAAATTAAGTAATGTTAAAACATACTGAAACATTTATCAAGTTTTACAGTTTGATTTTGACTTGTTGTTTTTGAAGTGTTCAGCTCTCCTTAATTTTGATCTATAGCATTTATTTCTGTTAAAAAAATCATTATATAGTTTTAAATTTTTTGCTATCCAAGGTGCAAGCATGGCCAAGTGGATTGCACGCTGAGCCACAGAAGTAATAAGCTGAGGTTTAAGTCCTACAACTGTTGACTTTATTAATTATTTTTTATTACTTTAAAATACAAAATACTTTTGAAGTTTTATAGAGATTATATACAAACATATGTAACAATATTATACATTTTAACAACTGAAAAGATTTTTAAAAAAGCTAAAATTTCTAAAAACATCAAAACACCAAAAGAAAAGATTTGTTGCGTATGTGTCATGGTTGAGATACTTATGTTATTAATGTGCTCAGGAAATTAGCTGTGGATGATCTGAAAAAAAATTTGTCTGAAACTTAATAAAGAAAAAACTTAATAAGACAGTCCTGCTACTTCAGAAGGTGCTACTGTGAAAGCAAAAAAAAAAAAAAGCCCGTAGCTAGAAAAAACTTTAAAACTTTCTTTTGACAATTAAACATTTTTTTTGCTGTTTTTATTTTTTTACTAAAAATATATGCTGCAGCTGTTTTTCAAAATGCCTTAATTATATACAAACATATGTAACAATATTATACATTTTTACAACAAATTTCTCAAAAAACATTGTAAAAAAGTAAAAGTAAAACAGAAGTTTTAGATTTTATAAGCACAACTTTTCTTTATTTATTGATTTTTATCCAAATGATTTATTTATTAATAACTATTTCGATAAAAATTATTTATTAATAGCACTAGCATTACCAGAGATATGAAGGTTGTACTACTTTTTTGAATATTAAAGTCAAAGTTTTTAAACTTGGGGAAATATTTAAGGCAAGTGCCTCAGAATTTTGTTGTGTAAGATAGGTAACTAAGATGCATGTGACATACTCAAATTTCTAGTATATTGATACTGTTATCAAATGCCAATGGCTTGCTAATAGTTAGGGAGTTTGAGGTTACTTAACTTTTACAGTTTTCCAATTTTTACCTTCACCATTAAATTGAGGATTAAAAAAATGATAATATAATCAGTAAACTAGAGACAGGGGGTTTATTTAGCATAAAATTAAAATCTGGTGACACCCTAAAAGAGAAAAAGTTGAGTTAAAAGTTAGATGATTTTTTCAATATTTTCTACTTAAAAAATATGCTAGTTGAATAAAATGGTGGGTTCTATCTATCTATGACTATTAAAGTATGTTTAAGTACTTGTAGAAGGATACAATCTCTTGTTAGTCAGGACATTATTGAATATATTTTGTGCTCCATAACAGGGAAAATGCCTAACATTCCAAAAACTCATAAAAACTGAAGAAAAACTGTTTGCTTACTGTGCATGAAAAAATGTGACAGGCAAATTACAGATTTTATCAAAGAGAGAACCAAGACCCTGCTCAAACAAGAGATTGACTTAACTGATCCCAAGGTTCCATCAGGAAAAGTCTTTTACAAAATATAAAAAGCATCAAGATCACAAGAAAACCCATTCAAAGTATAACCAAGCTCCCCCTGTTACATTATGTGCACCAAAAAGTTAATGTTAACACTAAAAATTAAATGATCTTAAGAAATGCAATTCTAGGAAGGGGAGTAGTCATCGCCATTTAACACCAGTATCAACATAATAGAAATTTAAGTATCCCACATGCCTTTTACTTACCAATCTTAAACAACAAAATTCTAGGACACTTATCTAAAATATGTTATTTCTTCCCAGCCTCTTGGTGAATTCAATTTCAGTTTTCATTAAGTCCTACTTGCATGTTTGCTTTTTAGCTATAAAAAGTTAAAATTTTAAAACTTAAATTTCAGTTTTTTCTACCAAAAATTTAAAAAATAATTTTTATTTTAGATTTAAGATGCTACATAACTAAGGTTTAAGGTCAGTGATTTATTTTTATTAACAGAAAATACAAACTTGAAAAAATCCTGATTTTTTTAAAAGAAAAAATATAAAAAACTGAAATTTGCTCTCAAAAATTTCTAAAGTTTAGAATAAGAACTGGAACTTTTAGACATATAATAAGTTTTATTTATTTCAGTTATAAATATTTTGCAGCTGATGGATCAAGGAGTCATTCGATCATTGAAGTGTAAGTACCGAACTAATTTAATTAACAAGATCATAAATGCCATTGATAACGAAAAACAAATGTCTTCAGTCTTCAGAACTTTTTTTTATTGATAGATTTATTAAAAGTAAAAAAAAAAACTTTCTACTCTTACTTTATCTTATTGTTTATGAAAAAACTTAACTTACACGCCACCAAAAAAATTCATTCCAAATAATGCAAAAATAACAGCGAAAACAAAAAGTAGTAGAATCAAATTTAAAACTGATGATATGCTAGCAAATATGGATGCTTTCAATTTCTTCAGAGATTCCCAAATACTGAAAAAAAATCATACATATAAAAGTATACAAAAATCTTAGTTGAAATATTATAAAGAATATAAAAAGAAAATATAATCTAAATGTATTTAATTTAAAAAAAAACTTGCTTATATTCCATATGCTGTATATTATCTATCATACATACATATATACAACAGAAAGAAAAAAGATAAAAAAGAAAAAACTATAAACGGCTGCATAATCAACCGAATCAAACTTTGAAAGAAGAAATTTGCTTTTATGAAATTTAGAAACTAATTTATTCCTCTTATTTAATAATGAGATACTTTTCAAATAAATAAACGTTTTACTGTGCAATTGTAAGATCTACAACGTTTTACAATTTTCCATTTAATTGTCGAGCTTACTTCACTTTCGTTTAACCTCCATACTTCCTTGGGTAATTCAGTGTCGTTTTTATATTTTTCGATATTAAAAGATTTTGTATAGTTAGCGTATGTAAGTTTGAATGTGGTTTCACTCACTCCAAAATACACTTTTTCATTTCTGTCTGGAGTGCCTAAGTACAAGGTGGCTTGATACACCTTATTTACAAGGCATTTTTGATTTAGAGGGCACTTGCTTTTAATAATACAATTGCAATGTTTATTGGAATTTGAGGTGTTGTCTTTAATTATATGATGGTTATGAGACTTAACTATTGATTTGATGTTTGGCATACAACTGTAACTCACCTTTAGAGTTTTTCTATTAAAAATCTTGCGGTATTTATGGCCAACTGGGAAGTGTTTGTCTATTTAACCCAAAAAAGAGTTTACCAATTTTGGTAGAAACATTTATACTATATGGGGGGGTTAAACCAGATTATATTGCGCTTACCATTTTTTGATAGAAGTTGGATAAGTTTTGGAACATAATTAAGTTTGAATTTGTAACCAGACTTTTTTAATGCATCATGATACACATCGGATAAGTTTTGAAAAATATTTTCATTAGATGAAATAGCTGCCTTGATTGTATAGAATGAGGAAGTTGCTTTAAAATGCTAGGAGGGTGATTGGATTCAACATGTATATAACTTAGTTCATCACAACTTCCATGTTACATTGTACAGAGATAAAAGATTATTATTTTTAAAAATTTGAATAATATATTTTTTTGTTGCATCCATGAGGTAGCCACTTGCATTTTTAAAAACTGCTAACCCATCGTCTCATTGTTATAAGCTAAAATCTGTTTTGTTATAATTTTGTTAAAAAAAAAAAAAATCCGATAAGCTCACATACCTCTGCTCCATCAAAATCACCCATTGCACAGGCTTGGTCGGGAAGCGGGAGCAATCGCTCTCGATTGCTGACCACGTAAATATTATTTAGTTGCGAAAAACTGGCCAGATTTTTCAGTCGTTTGAGAACATTTTAAAAAGCAAAAAAAAAAAAAGCGCTGAAGATTAATTGGACCGATGAGAGACAATTACAAAATAATCTATATATGCGAAAAAACTTAAAGCTAAATAAATTACGTTTAGAACAAATATTTTTAAAACATCGCTCTTTTATAATTTTTTTTAATAAAATTAGGCGATGTTTTTTATATATAGTAACATCTTACGATTGTTTAAAAAGGAAACAAATATTCTTTATTTAACAAAGTTGGAAAGTTTTAGTTCTATTTAAGCTAAACTATTTTATAAATAAAAAAAATTTTTTTTTTAATACTTATTTTATGTTTCGCGTAGTTTGAAAAGTTTAACATATTTGAAGCAATTCTTCTTAGTAAGATAAACAAATGGAATAATTAAATCATTGAATTACTATAGAAATTAAATTAACAAGATAGAAATCAACTAAAAAGGTTAAAAATACTTTTATGACGAGGAAGCGAAACTCCTTCACAATATCGCTGATGATGTTTAATGAGTGGGCTTTTTAATTTTAATTAGTATTTAAAGCAAAAAAAAGTATAACGAGTTTTAAGAACGGCAATTTAAGCGAGAATAATTAGAATTAGTAAACCAATATCTAGAAACTTTTTTTTATATCTAATTATTTGCTATATATATATTTATGACCTCGCGCGGTGCTTGTTCCTCTGCGAGTTACTTTGTATGTGTTGTTTGTGTTTAGTAACCAGAAACTTCTTATATGTTTGTTACATAATTAGTTTTATTAACTTTAATGATTATAACTTCATTGAAAACGCAATTATTTTTGTAAGTCTTTGTTTAAATCATAAAAATTGCTTTAAAAGATACATTACGATAAAAAACAGATACACAAAATTACATTTACATAAAGAATACAATCTCTTTTAAAATAAAAAACAAAATTATACTAATAAAATCTATAATTTATAATAAACTTTTAAAATTTTGACAATTTAGTTACTATATATTTAAAACATTTATTTTTGTAAACAAATAGTATATATTCTTAAAACAATTTATGCTAGAAATCTCAAAAGGTAACAAATCATGAATAATACAACTTTTAAAACTTTTCAACAGAATACTCTAAAACTTAATTTCGCTTAGCGTATTTTTTGAACCAATTTTCCTCCAGCTAATTGCCATAAAGAGGCCACATTACCAAGGTCCGCAAAGACAGGTTCGGCTCCCCTAGGAGCGTCATAACCCGCTCTACGGACCAAGAGTAAAATGAGTTTAGGAAGAACGAAGATATGTTAGAGTGAAAGACAGAAGTAGTCGTGTTAGAAAGATAGCATAAAGAAAGCGGACAGTATTGCACTTGATGTTAGGAGGTGCAATAGGTTGAAATAGGTTCTTTTCAAAAATTTATTAACCTGAATTCAACTTTTATTTTTATTTTTTTTTTTCTATTTGAACCTATAGAATTTGTTTGTTCGTTAATTTGGCAGGTTTTTAGTGTTAGTGAATATTCTTTTTATTCTTTCGCACCAAAATGTTTTTAAAACATTAAAGTTTTTTATGTTTCTATGTATGTCCGTAAAACAAAAATTTTTTGTTTTGTACATAAACTTAAATGTTCTTAAAACGACTAAAAAACCTGGCCAGTTTTTCGCAACTAAATTTCCATGGTCAGCATTCGAGAGCGATCGCTCCCGTTTCCCGACCAAGCCTGATTGCAATATTAAAACAAACCACTGTTCTTTTTAATCCAAAGACACTCTTTATTAAACAATAATGCTTGTTTGGGGTTGTTTAATTATTAGTTTACCTTCGTTTTAATGTTACATATTTCTCAGCAAATTTAATTGCATTATTCAAAAGATTTTCATTGATAGAAGGATAAAAATCAATAATAATAATAATAATAATAATAACTATATATATATATATATATATATATATATATATATATATATATATATATATATATATATATATATATATATATATATATATATATATATATGTATTAGAGATAAGCATAAATATATAGAAATACATGCATAAATATATACTAATACTACTTACAAAGAAACACACAATATATACCTATATTGCTAACAAAGTTTTAGAATGTATTAGATTTAGGAATTTAATCTGTGAGGATTCTGATTTTTAATAACTGTATGAAATCATAATCAAAATGCATGAATACTGACAAAAAAACAGGAGTTGCTTTTCAATTGCAATAAATTTTTGAAGAGGGAGTTTATCCCGAACCAAAAATTATCAGTTGGAGCACAATGTTTAGAGTTTCATTATATATTTATTACGTGCAACCACATCAAGAATATGCTGTAACAGCCTGATATCCTCATTTAAAAAAAGACTAATGAAATTGAAAAAATACTTTTGCCACAAAAATACCACATAAATTAAAGCACCTTGATTACAAGACAAGATGTGCTAAACTTAGACTAATTTTAGTAAATGACAAAAGAAAATGTGGTGACCTTATCCAAAAATTCAAAATTGAAAACAAAACTGATTTAATTAACTGGCATACTGACCCAATATTCATTCCTCCCATTTATAGCCATTGCAAACGCTTTCCTCACAAAATTAATACCAATTTCCTAGTTCAATTTAACCTTTTTAATAATGGAGTTGCAGATACTTAAATTGCTTAGCCAGATGATGTTGTCAATCAACATTTAAAAAAAAATGTTTACTATCGACATTTTCAAAAAAAAAACTAAATAGCGACTATCATAGTACTATAGTGCGTAATTTGGTTGTGTTACTGCAGCTACACGATCTATTTATATACATATAAATATATACAGTAAAATCCTGTTAACTCTGACTCTGAAGGGGTATATATTTATTGCCCAAATTAGCCAAAGTCCAAATTAAAAAAATTTCTTGTTAAGTCGGACTTTTGGAAAATGTCACATTTATTGAGATTTCGAGACTTATAGAATGTTCTTCAATATATAAATATTATGTAGATATATACAGAACAATATAATCTTATGTGAAATATATTTTTTTGCATATATAATATATACTATAAACAAAAAAAGTCCGAAATTGATGTTTGTTTCAGTGATTTGCACAATTTTTTTTCAAACAGCTTTAAAGCATTCAAAGCTACTCTTCTAAATTCACCATTCTGAGTAAACATTGAAAAATTAACAATCAATTGCTTCACGAACTTCTTCAGTCGTTGGCTTTGTTACCATTTCTTCCAACGTTTTGTTTCTTTCTTTTTGTTACATTTCTTTTTTAACTACCTCAATGATATCTTGAACAATATCTTCATCTGTCATCACTCCTCCTATTATCATTATTAATTATTAACATATCTTCATAAGTAAAATCTTTTGGAACAAGTTCCTCACTAATGTAACTGATCAATTGAATTTTTTAATCCATGGAAGTATTCTTCACCTTTATCTGGTATTCCTACTCCTTTCTTAAATTCTTTGGAAACAGGTTTCTATAACTTTATTTTAAGAATGAACATTCATTTTCATAGCATCAAGTATGAAGACTGAAGACATTTGTTTTTCGTTATCAATGGCATTTATGATCTTGTTAATTAAATTAGTTCGGTACTTACACTTCAATGATGGAATGACTCCTTGATCCATCAGCTGCAAAT